GACCCCGCATGTGATGCAGGAGTGGGACACGGATCCAAAAGAAAGTTCATTCTTCTGACTCCTCCCGTGTCTTTCTTCTCTTACCCTCCTCAAGTGCAGCCCCAGAAGGCAAATTCTGGGGAAAGGGGCTGTCTCCTCCTTTGCCTGGAGGGTCTGTGGTCTCTGCAAACTCCTTGCTGGGTCTTGCCCACTCCCAAGCCACACGATGACCATTCTCTCCCGACTCTCCTGTCTCCCGTCTGCAGGTGGCTGTATGGGTGCAGAGAAGCCATTTGCCCCAAGAAAATAAAAACACAAACGAGCTCATGTCCATCGTAGCGTCATCACAGCAGGGGACCGAGGTCGGGAGCTGCAGTTGTATTTAGCTGGGAAGTAGGAGCACAGGTCGTTATCGCTCACGAGCGATAGAAATTCAAGGCAGCCCTTGTGCACGGACAGGCACATTCCATCATGGGCATCTGCGCTGCCCTTCAAGGGCTTATTCATGGGCAATGCGTGAATAAATGCCTGGAATCCTGGCGGCTCCTTCCAGCTCCCACTTCTGGGGGCTTCTCTGGGGTGGCCGGGATGCGCCGGCGCTGCAACGTGTGTGTCACCTCTGTTAGGAAAGAGGGAAGGGCCCTGCCAACATCCTAGCAGCAGGAAAACAAGGTTTTCTGATCCCTGTGGGAACATTTGTTCCTGTTCATCAGGCTCCCATGTAAGAAGAGGCTCTGCTACCTTCCTGAAAGACATTTCTGATCTCCGTGTCTCCTTAGTTGCCTTAACCGAGCTCTTTCACATGGATTCACAGTCCAGGTGCTCCCCAAAAGCCCCCTCATATCTTACAAGCTCCCCTATGTTCCCATAGAAATCTCTTAAGCCCTGCTTGGGTCGTTTTTCTCTTTTTTTTTTTTGCAGTTGAAGGACCCCCAGGCAGAGAACATTTTACAGAGCGGGAGCGATTAATACAGAGCAACAAGTGGAGATTAAACCTGGTTCGACGGTGGTCCCTGCAAGCGCTACCTGGAGACTTCCCATGCAGCTCCTGTGCAAACGTACCCATAAAGCACTGAACTACCCTTTCCGACCCACTAAGGAAGACTACATAGCAATCATAATAACAATAATAATATTAATAATGATAAGGAAGCTCTACTTAAAGCCATTCATTCAGGTTCAGCTGTTCACCAGGCCAACATTACGTTGTGTTTTATGAAATGGAGACATTTCATCATTGCTCTCTGCCCAAGCAACACATTTCACTTTGGAAAATAAGGCAATTTTATCACTGTCAGGCCTCTGAAAGACAGTGCCTTTTTTTTTTTCCCCCCAATGGAAAATGAGCATCTAAGACTTGAATAATGCTGAATAATGCTGAATCAGCAACCCAGCCCAGTCTTGACTTATCTCTGGGTAAACATGTAAGTTTATCTGGGGGTAAAGGAGAAGAGAGGCAGGAAAGGAAGCAGAAGACAAAGGAGATGAACTGGAATCCAAATTCATAGCTGGATTTTATCCCTCTCATGGCAGATGGGTCTGAAAATTCAGAAATTTGGAGGCATCTGGAATCCATTCTCAAGCGCAGACTTTGCAGTATGTGCCTGCATAATGCATACAAGAAGA